CAACAGCACTGTCTCCCTGATGGCTTCATCTGAATACAGAGGAGGGGGAGAGTTGCTTTGCTTTCTCTCCCTCTCTCTCCCTCTCTCTCTCGGTGTCGCCCTCGCTCTCTCTTGCTCTCTCTCGCTCGCTCTCCTTTTTTTATTAGCAAGGGGGTGTTGGTGAAGGCGACCACAGCCGGGCTGCAATAATGAATAATGTGCAGATTGTTCACGGGGACTGCAAGTGTTTTATTAAGGCAGGTTTTCTTAGACTGAATGCCCAATCACTGCAGAACCATGAAACTCAAATTGCCTTACAGCTCTCTCATGAACATACTTTTAATCTCATTGACCTGTCGTTATACTACAACACATAAATTCAGATTTGGAGATCTTATGTCCAATCATAAATTGGGCTGGCAGACTTCCGATCAACAGAATAAAACTGTCTCCTGTGAGGTGGGTTTTTTATTCATCAGTGCTGTTCCAGCAGACGAAGCGGAGGAACAGTCAGCTTTTCTTAATAAACTGTCATTAAAAAATGGGGGGGAAAAAGAAACCCAGCATGAAATTCTTAGGAGGAAGAAGGGAAAAAATAAGGTGATGTTTAAATAACATTAATGTTGGGCATAAACTTAGGACGTGGAAAATTCTGAATTAAGGGGTGTTAGCTTCTGGCGTTGTGGAGAAATGATAGAAAAATAAAAGAGTTTGTGCAATGGCATTCAGGCATGCATTTTTGGCCATAATTCTGTGCATTTCTGTGGGGGGGGGGGGGGGGCTTTATGGATTTACTCCCTCTTCTGTTCTGTCTTTTTCTTCTTCTACTTAAATGAGCAACCTAGAAAAAAATCTGTGTGTCTGATATCTCCATCTCTCTTGTTTTACAGTGATTATTCAGATTCAGCAGGGAATGGGTGGATTTGAACTTTCTTTGGGTCAACAGGAGTTTGGAGGTGAAGGGAGACTTTGCTGTGTTGATGTCAGATGGGGGTATTCATGAAGAAGGGTTTCCTTGTGTGAAGAAAGATTACAATGGGTAAATCCTACTACGTGCTGAACCTGTTCAGGGTGAGTTATGGGTGGTGATGCATCTGCAGGCCCATCTGTCAGTGCTTTCATTGCATACGGACAATTCCTGTTGTCCTCAGTAGAGAATTGTGGTCCTAATGCAGGTCGGATCATTTTTTGTGTATGCATATTTCCTCTTTACAGGTCACTGTAAAAGAAAGTCCCATGATTAGTTGGAGGTGCTGATGGTATTTCTAATATTTTAGGTGCAGCTGCCTCCTCAAATAGAGCATGCAATATTCTTGTATCATCAGCACTTTCATCTACACAGCCGTCACCTTTTTAACCCTCCCCAATTGTAGGCCTTGGTCCCTTAGATAACATACATGTTATCCCCCCGGCCCCCCCACTTAATTTAGTACTCTTGCAATGTGCTGAACATTGCTCTTTTCTTTATCTCCAGAAGGGGTCTAGCAGACAGCAGCGCAGGCTTCCTCAAACACAGCTAGCCCCGACGCGCTTTGCAACCTACCTGCTGCAACCACCTCTGTTAAGGCAGTAAGTCAGTAAAGTGCGTCATCATTACAGACGGCACTGCCAACCCATGCTGGAGCTAAGCTGTCAGTGTAGAGGTAATGTGCACCCTTTCCTAGGTGTGGCTTCTCTTGGGGACATGCTGCTGCTAAAAGGAATCCCATCTTAAGGAGGAGCAGCTAAAGCTCTGTACTCTCAAAACGTGGAGACCTTCCCCCAACCTTTCTAGAACTGCTTGTGGAGGAAGCAGGTCATTTAGAGTTTCCTGGGCTTTTCAATGTCTTTGGGGTGTTAGGAGAGGAGAGCGCTACCAGAACCCAAATTATTGCGTTGGCATACATCGGGTATGTTAACTCGACCTCCCCTGAACTGTACACTGGGCAGGCAGAAAGTGCCCGTTGATTAGGCCCACTAGGAGTTCTGTGGCTCTGGGACAGGCAACATAGGACAGCAAACTCCGCTTCTAGACAGACTTGCAACTTCTGGCAATTGCTGTCCTTCAAGTGCAGTCCTGCGACACCGCAGCTGCCGCTGGCTCTGGCTCTGCGCCTCTCAGCATTCCAACATTGCGCCTGTGGCAATTTAGTACCAGTCATTTGAGGAAACAAAGTATTTTGGACTCCCCTCCTCCAGGGTTTTCTGTCCTTACAGTAGTTTTTTGAAGGCCTCTGTTTTCACAGCACTAGGATAGATGGACTCCTAAAATATACAACCAATTACATAGCAGAATTTATTAGACTTTATTCTGGTGCACATTACATGGTGGGGGTGGGAGAAAAGGAGCGAACTCTGGAAGGAAACCCATAGCAACTGAAATGTAAGTGTGAGGATTAGAAGTCCTCATAAATATACCTGACTTTGCCATCACTGTTAATTAAATGCAAGTCATGAAACACGGGCACAGAGCGCGTCAGTGGCAGGGCGTAGCAGTGCTCAGAGATGGAAAGGAAGAGTAAGTGGGGGGAACCAGCGCCATGGCCTGGGGCTGAGACGCACAGCAGAGCCGGGAGGGTTAAAGCCGCTTGGGCAATTTAGAGTAAGCCCTTCACAGCAGGGCAAAGGGGACTCACCGATCCGTTATTAATGTTTCCTGTTTTATCCTCTCATCATCATGGGTTTAACTGTAAATTATCCAGCATGCTGTAGTTATCTGTTCTGTTTACTTCTCCATCCCAGTGAGGTGGTAGGGGATAAAGTGCTGATGTTAACAAGGAAAGAGGGGACACAGGAGAGCCCTGTCCCCGCTGAGCTTTGCTTCAAGGCTGCGTAGCTATGAGTTTCAAGGCTCTCTGGCCCTTACCCTATGATTCACTCAGCCTCTGCGGCCTTCTTCCTTCAAAATCATGTGCCAAGACTTGGCTTCTGCGAGCATGGTGCTTGGTTTCCCTCCAGATATGTGTGGCCCAGAGGGCCCGCGTCTGAGAGACCAGGATGAGGTGCTATCTTAATTCAATCCTCCGGTAAATAGCTTCCTCGTTTTCTCCCCCTCCTGCTTCTTCAAGGGCTTTTCTTTTCCCAGCTCTGTTTCGCCGTTGGTAATCTCCCTGGCATGTACTCCATCAGCACTCCTGTGGGGCTTCTATGTGTAGGAAATAAAGCCCATAGTTCAGCACTATCCATCTAATATCTTCTGACTGGTTTTAATCATAGCATTTTCCATTTAATTGGGAAGGCAGGCACACTTTGCATATTAATACAGCACACCCTGTACCTCCTAAGCATTAAAAGCATAGATGGCTGGGATGTGCTATGCAGTCACTATGAATCTGCTGCGTGTCCTTTAGCATCTCTGTGAATAGGATATTTTCAGTGGAGTTATGTTTTGCCCTTCTGTTGGCAGCCTGTTGGGTAAAAAAAAAAAAAAAAAAACACTATCCCCCCCCCCACCCCCAAAACCCTATTTGTATGGATTTCCTCCATTTAAATAATTGCTCTGCAGACAGTGCAGCCATGCCTCTGTCTGTTATGTCCATTGTTTTCCTTATATCATAACACTACTGGTCTCATTGTCTATTCAGGACAGCCAAAGGGAAAAAATATCATCTTCCCTTCAGAGCTGCTGGCTGTATAGCCCTCTCCCCTTTTGTGATCCATCTATCCATGAAAGACTCATTCTTTCTCTTTTTGGCTTCATACTGCCACCCGTCACAGGAGTGAGTCTCTGTGAATCCAATAGTTTTGTCTTAATTTCCTTTGTGGTTTTCATGGCTCTCTCTTGTCCAAGATCAAAATTTGCCTTGGGACGGGCATTTTGGTTTAGATTTGGAGGAGGTCTCATTAGGGCTTTCACCTATATGGTGAAAATACTTTTCAAAAGTAGGTGAGCACAGTGTCTTTATAAGGCAGGATGTTTATTGCCTTTGGGAGAGACTTGCAGGGAGCTGCCTAACCCTGCACACTCCCGCTGCACCCTTGCTATGTGTAAGACACACTGGGCAATTGTTACTGTGATTTGCTATCAGCATTAAATAATTGTATGTTAGATGCTGTCCAGAAAGATAGCAAGTGTGCAGTCCTGTTACAAAGAGGTGGTGTGTGTTTCAGACGCAAGATAGATCCCACTTAAAATTTTCAGATCCTCTCTGAAGTATTGCTTTCTTCAAAGTTTATGGTATATGAATTGTAGATTCCTGTTCAAAGTCAGTATAGGAAGGAAACTGATGAGCAGAACTGGTAATGACATTTGAAAATTCCCATTATTCAGAAGAGTGCAGATCTAGTGTCCTGCCATCTCTAAGAATAGTTGCCTGTAGTCAAAAGTACGGTACAGTGTGAAAAGAGAAATTTGCATTAGCCATTAATTTGTAGACTCTCTGGGGCAGGGATTTTATCTTCCTTTCTTGCTGAGGCACACTGGCCACTGCTGGTTCTGTGTAATTGTCAGTTAGGTAAGTCTCCCACTTGGAAAAAATCTGGAGTGCTCAGCCACTGTTGTAAAGCTTGTTAGACTCCCATGCATTGGCTCACAGCTCTGCAAAAGGACATAATAATGGCTCCTGAGGAATGGGGCTCCTAACTGGGGAATGTAAGGTACAATATAACACCTTGTTCTGCATTGGTCACGGTGATCCTAAAGTGAGATTCACAGAGTGCACTGTTCATGGCTTGCATTTAGGGCTTTGTCTGTGAGAAAGAAGGGGGTGAACCAATGATGTTGCAAAATCTCAGCTCTTCTGGATGCCAAGTACAGAGAAACTGCTCGGGCAGACACTGAATAATGCTCACATAGTTAGCTTCCAAGCTTGACAGGATAGTGCAGATGAGGACAGATGAAAAGGTAGGTAGATTGGCTTGGATTATAGACTGTAACTGCTGCCTGGGTGATGTAACATCTTGGTTTTCAGCAATATGCCAGTGTCCAAGCCAATTTTGTCCTGATTATCAATAGGTTCAACAGCTCAGTGGACTTTGGATTCAGAGAATGCCAGGAGCAACAAATGCTTCCTTCTGACGTTTACCTTTCTGCCATTTTTCAGTGTGACAAGTCCTCCAAGAAGAACTTCTGGATCATGGTGAGCTGGTGTCATCTGGGAGCTGTGACTCCTGCAGGCTCCAGGGGTGACCAGCCGTTCAGCTGCAAGAGAACATGTCAGAATCCAGCAGAGACACCCAGGTTAGTTACAGAGGAAAGGAGAGATCTGTTATGGAGGAAATCATAGCTCTCTGGAAATTGGTGACATAGCAGTAAAGGGGATTTAGATGGTCCGAAAATGAGCCCCTGAGTACCAAATCTCTCTCTGACTCTCCTAATATCCCCACCATTCTTTTGTGGACAAAACAGTCCCCACCCTTTCATGCACGCGCGTTCTTATCTTACCAGCATCCACCCTTTGAACACCTTCTTGTCTGATCTCCTCTCTGCATTAGCCAGTGAAGTGAGAAATTCAGGAGGAAACAAGCCAACAGCTTACCTCTTTGGGATGCTCCTACTCCAAGAGCCACATCAATCCTGGATTCCCCATGTCATGAAGCAGGCTGTTGATCTTGCGGATTACTCTGCTCTGTCAAAACTGGTTGCACTTCACGCAACTGTGACATGTCCTTTTGTAGAAATAACAGCACTTTCATCATTCCCAGAGCTTGGTTATCTCTAGGCTGTGTGTAGATACTGTGCCTTGATCATTTTGACCTGTTTGATAGTAATACTTGCTCTGTGCATATGCAGGGACGTGCAAATATTTTTTTTTTCCTTAAAAGCCTGCTAAATTCAGCTGCCCTTTACTTCTACTCCAGTCTGCTTTCCTGGATTCTGAGGATAAAAAGCCACGAGTTAGATTACCCCATCAGTTTGCAGGTATTTGTGTTTCTGTTTTGAGACTGCTTCTGGGATTTTTAGCCAGAAGTCTGGAAGAAGGACAGTGAATGGTGTTCTAGTTATAAAAATTTGTTGGATATTTTTCCATAGCTCTGAAAGTACAGCTGGGAAAGCACAAAATAGAATCAGATCTTGCATGCTGCAAGTATTTTCCTTACTGATCTGTCATTGTTCTTGGAGCCTGTCAGTAGCCCTAGTCACTCCTGCTTTTCTGGTCTAGTAAGAGCTATGCCATTGCTTCTGTCGTGCCTACAGTTCCCCATAGACATCATAATTATGGCCTTCTTTAAAGCAGACATCACTAACCAAGCCAGAAATTATCACTATGCGGGAAAGCAGATCAAAATCAATTAGGGAATAAGAGGTGACTAGATTCATTTCCATCTGAAATTTCAATTAAGCTCTTCAGTTTAGAATTACTGTGTTAGCCCCGACCTCATGACTCTGATTTTTGAATTTTAGAATTTGTCTGATAGGAAGAAGTACATGTGGCTTTCTAGAGTTTTAAAGTATATGGCATTGCTACAGTCAACTAAGCAGAGCTGTAGATAGCTGTAAATATTTCAGATGTTGAAAGCCACAAATATGTAGAGGTTCTCCTCATGTTAATGTGTCTAATGTGTTTGAAAGCTGGATATCCCAGTGGAAACAGTCAAAACAGATTCCTTCACTCATTGTTATTTCATCCAGAGATCCAGTCCTCTTTGTGTCTGTCAGAATGTGCAGTAAACTAGTCCCCGAAATAATATTGCTGCACTTGAATCTAGCTAATAGGTATCTGATTTTCCAAAGCATCCAAGAGGATTAGGAATCTTTAACAGTACACTTGGGCTCAGGCTACATATACATGCATTGCTGGACCCTTTTTCAAATTTCTGACTGATTCAAGTGAACATCTTTTGAAGAGGCATTTTCTACAGACAAACGGTGGCTCACCTATTACTATTTTTCACTATATGCTCTCTTATGGGAAGGAGAGATACCAATAGCCAGCCTCCATCGTCACTGCTTTATATACGTTCTGAATAGGACTCATGCTGCAAAGCGTCTAAACACTTCTGAAATGAGAGGTGGGCTCCTATGTGCTGAAAGTGCTTTTTGCTGTTTCTGTTTGTTCTGCTATTTCTGAAGTACCAGAGTACCGTTTCCCTATGTTAACAGTACAGCTGTATCCCAGCTACTGCTGGACTAGAAAACTAGTTTTCAGTTGAAGCAGGCAGGCCTGATTCCCAGTACCTTTGGGGAAACAGCTGGCGCTCTGCCTCTCGCCAGCAGCATGCAGAGTGTACACATACTGCGCTTTCTATGCTGAAAAGCATGTTTGAAGCTGTGGAAACAAGAGAATTGAATATTGCAAGCAGGAATACAGAACGGAGGATAAATTGAAATGGCAGTCGATGAGTTTTTTAGGGGTCTTTGGTTTTTGTTGCCTCTCTTGTTTAGCACTGATCACGATGAGCTTCTCAAAGTGCTTTGGAGGTTCCTTCTGCCTCCCAGAGGAGCTGTGGAGGAGGAGAAGCTGTTGTGTATCAGAAAGAGGAAGGACCGGGGTGTCACAGCACCTAAGGTCTTTCCCTGCTTCTGCCACTTCCTTGCTTTGTGTCTCCAGGAGCTTTAAGTTCTCTTTTCTTTATCAGTCTGTAAGACAGGCATCATCACTGACCACCTCCCTCCCACAACTCCACTCCGCATTGGGGTTGTGAGGCTTAGTTAACAAAGGCCTATGCAAGTAGTTAGAAACCTTTGAAGAAAGTTGTTATAAAGACATTAAGTTTTTCATTCTGAAAGGACAGAAGAGAAAGAAGGATGTTAGGGTTTTTTTCCTAGCTGGTTGTGAGACCAAGTATTGCCCTGAAAGAGCGCAGAAGGCTGTTCCTGAGGCTGGGAGACATTGAAGAGTTGATGAGGCTCTTGTCTTTAGCACAGGCCACAATATATTTTTGCAGCGGCTGTTGCTGCTTGAAAGGGACCGATATGTACATGCCACCAACAGATTTGTGCTTCTAGAAGTTTTGTGCTGGAAAGGGGTGTTACAGGCAGATTAGCAGAAATCTTTGGCATTTCCTGGGCTGCGAAAATAGTTGTGTTTGTGCTTTTGACTGGCAACAGGAGTAAGGTGCCATCTAATTTTATTAGACACTCATGAAAATGGATGGGGAAAAAAAAGAAAAGAGAGAAAATGGCTAGGAAGCTACTGAATAGGGTTAATTAGCAGCTTGTTACTGTGAAGCACTGAAAGGATACCCCAAAAAGTTAGGGACCACGAAGTCACTGGACTATGTCGAGTCCTGTTTCTTTTATATGACAGAAAGTCCCACAGCTCTGGCCCCTGCATTATGTCTTTTGAGCATGTCCTTCCACACTACTGGTGTGTGTATATGGAATTAGATCTGAACAAACTATGTGTGTGTACACATACATACCCTTCCCTCACCATATGTAAGATACTGTGCAGATGTGGGGGAACAGCCATGGGAGTCCCTGGAGAACAGGCTGTTACTGGGCTTATTTTGTGTCACCCTTATTTCTAATCAAACACACGCACACGCACACACCTCACCCTGGCTCACTTCAGCCCGGATCTATTTTCTTTTATTATCCTGGCAGGAGACGAGCTTCATTAGGGGAGTGGAGCCTCTAACAAGGATGGGGAATGGCAACAACAAAAGGATGTAGCAATATAAAGTTATGTCAAAAAACCTTTACAAGAAAAACGGCTGACATTAGAAACAGTGTGCATTAAAAATTCAAGACGGTTGGAAGAGGGGGGCAGGATTGGAGAGAGAAAAACAAATAAACACACAGGCTTAAGACTAATAAATTCTTGGATTTGGGAAATGCATCAAACCCTGCATGCTATTAAAACTGGTTTTATTCCTATTATTGTTAATAATAATGATAAATATATTTTTCTTGGATTTCAGTGTGGGCTATCTGCATTTTAAATACACATTTTGTAACTGGCTAAGCAACCTTTCCCTTTTGCTGTTTCTGTGGCTAATGTTCAGTGACTGGGAAGTCTGTTTTATTGTAACTAGACTAGAACAGGCTAACTCTGCCAGTAAATCATTTTGGATGTACTTTGACCAGTAGCCCCAATTTAGTCACCTCTGTTAAGTGTGCCAACCCACCCAGTTACCTTTGGCTAATCAGATATGCTGCTGTTTTTGCATAATCAGGCTCTTTGTGGAGAATTAGTTGACCCAAACACAAAACACTCAAAGGCTAGTCCATGGGTAATAGAATAATCAGTCTTTGCAAGGAGCTGAGAATTGTGAATCTACCTGTAAGGGGGAAGGACTTTGAAAGGAGGAGCTAGGTTGCTGCACTGTTAAAGCACTGGGAAATTTGTTTCTTAGTCTGATCTTATCCTCTAGCCCTGGCTGAAGGTCCTGTTTGCATGCTCTCTAACACACATTTTTTCCCTCCTTCTCTGTGAATTGACAGACACATCCATACAGAGTAAAATAGGATCGCCAAATCTAGTTCTGTAATTAGCATCAACTTGCAGCTCTGCCAGATGCCTCTTGAGAGAGGCCAAGATTTGGGTTGCATATAGCAAACTTCCTTGTTCCCCTACAGCTGAGCTGTACACCTTAGTAGTGTGGCTCTGAAGGCAGAATAGTGTTAGCGGTAGGTTTGCCATATTGCTCCCCTAACTTTGAGAATTCAAAAGAGGGTCAAGGTTCTCCAACCTGAGCAGTCTGGTCCTTCTCACCTGCACTAAAATTGTACTGAAATTGTGATTACTCTCCCCCAGCTACTCAACCTGCATTCACAGATAGAGATAAAGGTGCAGGGATGTTTTCCAGGCGCGGACAGAACCTCTCATGGTGTTGTTTCCATCTGCTTCTCAGGGGGTGCTAGCAGATGCCTATGGGTTATAGCACTGCGTCTGGATTTCCTGTAGCGTGGGGGCCTGGCTTGCCAGTTTTTCCTTTATGTCAGGTTTCTCCCACTTTTTACAAGGCTCATTCATACTTTTATAATTATAGACTGTTATGGACTTTCACCAAACCAGTTTTACCCACCTTGGGTTTTTAAATGCACTTTGAAAAAAAAAACCCACACAGCAGTACACACAGCTTACCAATGGTTCTTGGGAGTGTCAGAGGCTGGGCAGGGTGTGGGGGGAGAGGATTCCCCTTGTCTCAGAGGACAGCTTGCTTTGTTACTTTAGTGCAACCAGCAGGATGAAAGGGTGAGGAAAAAAAATCCCAAACACCTAAGTCAGGTAGTAGACCATCAGCAGAGCCTTCTCCCACACTCAGACAGCTTCAGATTTAAAAGGTCCCACA